ATGTAGTTTTGCTGAAAATACTTTAATTATTATTTGAAATTAATTGAAAACAGTAACTACGAATTAAGTTTCTATGCATTGAATTGATTGTCGTTTCACTGAACATCTTAAGGTATCTCCAAATGTCTGTTATAAACATATGTCCAGTGTAACACAGATCAACATATAGAGTTGAAAAACATGAACCCAATGAAAGTTAAATTTTAAAATAAAATCTCCAATAAAAAGATTACAAGTCAGTATAAGATTTTGAAGACCGAAGATCTTGGATTCGATTCCCACGTGTGGTGTCGTAGATGAGTACTGCTTAGAAGTTGTGTGATAGGGTGAAACAGCTGTCAAGTGTCTCCATTTTTTAACGATAGTCCAACTTAGATCGGTTCACAATTTCACTAGCTAAAATTACACTGTTGTATACAAACCTTACTCACTAAATGAACAGAAAAATGACCCAAAAGTGTTAGGTAAAACATACCTAATAAACATTGACGATTAATTTTAGCTTTTTTATGAATATAAAGGTCATTTATGTTGTTGACATAGTGTTTTAATTTTCATCTTGTTTTTTAACAGTTTAATAGTCTAATCGTCTTATAAGATGAATCATTATTATTTCTTAGTTATATTAGGTAGTTTTTTTTCGCATCACTTGATATATTCAATTAATTCTTTGTCTCATTTAATGTTTTTTTATTAGTGAATAACAAATTTAGTCATCAGGATGCTGTTTTTATGTACTTCTATTGGTAATTGAAATGTGGCCAATTTAAAATTAATGCTGTCGTGTAGTACATGTTTATTATTGATTTTGTTAAAGATTTCAGTTATATTAACTACTCTCTGAATAATGACCCATATCATATTTGTATAGTCCTTCAGTGTTGATCGAATTCTACTGATTAATTGAGATAATATCATTAGTCTTAGTGACATGACATCACATTTTATATATTGAGATATGTTGATTCGACTGTAGGTAGTTGATAGAATACCCTGTTCAATATAGTTTTTGTGCTAGCTGACACTCGTTAAAGGAATTGATACTCCTCATGGGATTCGAAATCACTTGACTCCATTTCATAGCTTGAGATATTATCAGAGATCTATTCAACTCACGAATGAACTTCTGTAGGATTTCCTGTATAACAATGGTGAGTCACATAGATTAGTGATTATATTGCCACTTGACTAACAGAATTTGATCAGCACTAAATGACCTGATAAATGTGACATTGAACACTACCCACTCAGTGATCGATCAGGGTAAATATCTCAGAAGATCAATAGCTGATCAAATAGCCTAGTGATAACGATTCAGAATCTGAAACTGGGTTATATGTTTTTGAATCCCACGGACAGGATTAGATATCTCAAAGTTTTAGAGACACCTTACTAACGAGTTCTAACTAACTTGAAACCAAAATTGAACAGGGTCTCCTGCAGACCAATTCCAACCACCTTATTTATTTATTTCATTTATTTTAACACATAGATATTGGTACAATGAGGCATCAAATACATATGCGCCATACAAATCTCATTTGATATGTGTGAGGGCTGTGATACTGCCCGGGTGCCCAAACTGAAGCAGGTGGTTTTCCTGGGGGGCCACACCTGGAGCCTTCGGCATGAAGGTCTGATCCACAAGGCAGTGGAGCAACGTAAGGAGATGCAGTCCCATGGTAGCCGGTGACCAACGATTGGTTCATACGCCATTTGTTCCTTCAGGATACTGGAACCCATGTGCATCATTGGTTTGTAATCAGGGTTTTCCAACTCCCCTAGGTGGACTCTCTGTGTCCACCAACCCGGTTAAAGCGCCGGACATTCGCTTTTCGTCCTCTCAATTTTGTAAACACCACCCCCGCTACGAGAAGGCAGTGAGTAGGACTTCCTTGGCAGAGGCTATATACGCGTGGCCATGTGAGAGCATTTCGAGAGGGATAGCGGACTCTCCCCACTCTCGGCCGTACCAGGGCATTTGGGGGCATTCCAACCACCTAACATATTTCAGCTAATCTGAGGACAAAGTATGGACGCTATGTGTTAACTGAAGTTATCAATAGTTTTTTTTGACGATGTTTCATTTCATTCAAAACATATATGAACATTTCGTGTATCTGAATAGTGTTTATGAAACTGTCAGATTGGGAGGAGTCATATTGACAAGTGGAGTTTTTCACTTTATCTCAATGATCTGACCAATAAAAACTAATTATTCATTATCTATAACAATTTCGTTATAGTAATTTGTCTGTAAAAAATAGGTCGAGTACATGATATTTTTGCAAATGTACTTAAAAGATTTGACGTTTTATAACTAAATTTTTTTAAAAACTCTCCACGTTTTATTTGTTTTTTGTTTGCTGAATTCCTTAGCTTCAGTCCCAACATTATTATTAATTCTGAGATCATGTCATGTTTGAGTATGCCATAGGAAGATAATATTTTCGTATAAGTAAAGCAATCCTGTATCATTTGCTCCAATAGGTTGCGCTCTTCTTTTCTCCACTAACCTAACAATGATTGTGTTTTTTTAACGTTTTGACTAGTACCTCTGATTGTCACTTTTTGATATCAAATTATTCGATAGGGAGTAAGTTTTTTTAGCTTAATGTCCTCATCAGGGATCGATCTTAGCACCCTCATGCTTCACGATAATTGCTCAACGTCAGTATCACCATAAACTAATTGATATTTCCAACTTCAATCGATTCACAATATTCCGTCGTTATTGCTAAGACTTATCTCAAGTTCAATGTGATTAAAGCTTACTTACTTTTCCCAAAACGATTTATTCATTTAACTGAAGTAATTTTTAATTATTCTCTTAGTGATATTATTGAATGTTTGTTAATAATGCATTTTTTCATCAATGAAATAATGTCACAACAATCAATTTTGTAGATTAGATCTTTAAAAATAATCCAATAATTTTTTTCAATACATTTCTTATATTCTGTTCTCATAGATACGAGTATTTTTCTTGTTTGTTTGTTATATTTGTTTTTGTCTACTGGACTGGTGAAGTTAAAACAAAGGATCCAATGTTATCTCTACTTATACTACTGTTTTTACTACTATTATTCATAAGTGACAATTCTCTTGTTAACCAATCATACTATTTCAGGTTATCACAACAACATATTTCCATTTTCTACTTTTCCTTTTAACAGATTGCTCATCCCCTGATACAATCATGTCTTTTGCACTGTATACATGCTATCTTCTTTGTGTCTATCATTGGTCCAGCGTTAACACAGGTATGTTGTAGATTTATATATATTATAATTTGTCAGTTTTCTCAATCGCCATTGTTTTGTCGATGGAAATAAATTTACTACTCCGTTTTCTGTTTTCAAACCGATTAAGCAATATACAGGATAGTTTTAAAACTCAAGATCTAAGGAAAGACAAAGAAAGAATATATTTGCCCCATTATGAATGATTCATTTCAGCGAACCTATTCAACCCCTCATCCCGGTTGCTACATGAACCCTAACCAGGTCATTTATACATGCTTAAATGGTTCAAATCAGCAGTTTGTGAGTTCATGGAACGTTTTCATGTTTTTGTTTGGGCGTCTTTAGCCTTCTTCCAACCTACTTCTACTCCAGTAATGATCGCTTATCAAGGTAGAAAATGTCTCAGTATATGTAACACATGTTCAAGCCGTTTAAGTTGATGTAAAATTACAACCAGATCAATCAATTTACATCTTTACCAAATCTCAAAGTTGATTACTTAGTCGTTCAATGAAACGGAAACAATACTTCTGAGATACTTGTGATCAATAACCTGCAGCCTAAACATTTCTCTCACAAGCCATGTTTCACATCCACAGAATAATAGGGAGTGGATTGTTGTGCAATATACTCATCCTTTGGTTAATAGACAAACATTTCGGCTCCCCCACGAATGGCGCAGATATAAAAAGGCTGACCGGACCATCTGAATACGTGACAAGATTTTTTTTACATCAGCTCACTAGGACTAATGAGATTTCCAAGGTAAATGAAGTAGTCATCGTAGTTAACCACTTCATTTCTTTCTAATCAATCTAGGTATTGATGCAGTCTAGTCGTGAAACAATTAATAGACTCTAAATTTCATCACAGTTCTCACTAAATCGGACTTCGTTATTTTCATAGTCCACACCAATAAGATGAACACTTGAGAAGAAGTGACTGGCTTCAGATAATTTCCATTTATCGAGATGATGCCGTAAATGGTGGCGGATATGACAAGATTGATTTAACCTGACTGTTGTAAAATCTTTTTTTTTCTTGCAATATCAGTTCTTATACTTATTGAAATTAAAATATATAGTACTATTTTATCAAGTATTCGGTCAATCAATCATTATCTTTTTTAAATATACAATCAATAATCAAACAAATCGTTTCCTTATAATAATCTACATAAAATCATTGAATCACAATTGTGATAGGTATTTTCCAAAATTACGAATGAATGACTTTAGCAATTCACTTCTGTTATGTTTCTTTCTCTTTCTCTTTAAAAAATAAATGGTCTATTATGCAATGAACCTGGAGAGTTAGCTCCAAAAGACACATGAATTGAAATTATTGTCTCTCTGTGTGTGTGTGTGTATGCACGTGTGTGTGTATGTGGTCATACTGTTTTTCACTCTCTTTAATTTATTTTATTTTTTAATGATTATTTCATAATTCATTAATTAATTAATTAATAAAACACAAGAATTCAATGATAGATTTTGTTTTAAAAGAAAAAAAATAATCTATTAGTATTCAATATGTCAATAATCATTATAGTTGTTAGTACATTTATCGACAGTAATTAGTTCAATTGGTTTGGATTGATTGATTTATTTATTGGAACGAATAACTGATATGAACTAGAGTACTTTATCAAATCAATTTATAACATAATAAATTTTGATTTTTGGACATATGACAAACCATTAAAAATGGTACAGTTAAATGATTAATTTTTTGGTTGTTGTTTGTTTTTGTTGCTAACTTCATATTGGATAAAAAATATGAACATAATGATTTCATTAAATTACTTAAACTAATATAAACTTATCAATCATAATTGAGAATGGAAATTATCATTATTTATTGTCTAATAGTTGATTTGTGTAAATAATTGATTACATTTGTAAATTAATATTTTATTGGAAAATATTTGAAGGAATGAAAGATTTATTATGTATGTTTAATCACTATATACACCTACTTTAGCATATGATGTTAACTTATAGTAAACTAGAAGAAAGATAAAATTCCATTAATCTCTAAAATTATCACACAATCCATGAACTCCACTAAACTATTACACCACCCACCCTCAATTATTTCCTTTTTTCTAACACCAATTAACCTCTGATCTGTTCTAGAATATATATATAGTTATTATTGTAAACCTTTGTCATTCCAGTTATTTACATTCATTTATGTCAATTGTTTCACACTATCTCAATGTAAAAAATTCTATCACATTTTTGGTTTGTAATCAGCTGACGAGAAACCTCGAAATATTATGAATTCATACTATTCTGCATCAATATTTGTTCTTGTTTTATTTAAATTCATAAAGGGAACTAATTGCAAGAAAGATAAAAGTTGAAACTCTGCTTCATTTTGTTTGATTCAAATAATTCATTAATTAGTATTTGTTAGATTCCATACAAACAGTGTGACGTATGATCATACAACTATATCAGTAATTTGACTATCAAGTTAATCTTTAATTAAATCGTTAGATCATTTTAACTTCAACTTTAGAAAGGAGTTATTTTAACAATGAATAGTTTCAAATGGTTTGGATCTCTTCAGACAAGTTAATATTATTATTCTATTTTTTCTCGTTTGCCATTTTTGTAAATGAAACATACACATGTATACTGTTAAATACTTTATTTACTAGATTGAAGATATTTATTTTAATTATGATGTAATATATGAAGTGCCATTATGCATTAAAATACTCCCTTAATTTATTGCAAATATTAGTCGTGTATTGAGTCAATCTATCGCTGATTCCTGTTGTTGTCATTATCATCATTTAGTTGACCATCTATGGGTATGTGCAATTAACTACAGGGTCACAATCGCTTAGATGCATTCACTCTATTTTACTGTTGATCTGGTGTCCCAGTATTCTTTCATACATCTTTTCATTCCGTCTTTTCGAACCATATTCTTCAGTTACATGGGATAGAAAAGTTGTGGTTATTAGTGGTATGAAGGACGAGCTTTTCTTCATATTAAAAATTCGTCAGCCGGATGTACCTGCATTTTAGAGTTATTGTTCATACCGAAACTCAAATGTAGCACTTTTCACTTCAAATGCCAAACGTATTATCCACTGAGCTACTGAGTCCAAATAATCACTGATTTGTTCAAATTTCAATCCCTAATATCAAAAAGGGGATAACTCAAAATCTTATCAGTCAGATATTCTCGAGTTTTTATTCTTATCATTGTCACTACAATAATCTCGATTTCTTGAGTATATTTACTTTAATAATTTCATCATGTCTTTATGATATGATCTTGTTAATTGCACTAACGGGCATTTATCCCAGGCTTACATCATGGTTAGTGAGTTTATGTGTAGTATGTTATTTTAATAGTTCATATAATAAATTCGTTTTTACAAAAGTGTGTTAGTTAAACTTCCTTAAATCATTGAAATCTATAAACAGTGTTGACGAAATGAACTTTAGTGGACAGAAATACGTTTTTTTTAAAATGTGTGTGTGTGAACGGAGCAATATGTCAGTTTAGAGTAATACGTTGCTAGAAATGTTAATAAATATGAAGATTTGGGAATTTATTCCTTCTTTTCCGATTGATAGTTAATATTAATTTGGTTTCCGAGTTGATAATCGGCTTTCGACCATAAGGTTGGTAGTTCCAACCCTATTCACATCAAATTCCGTTCGAGCAGTCGGATAATATGAATAACTTTCACATATGCATACAAAATCTATTAAGTAAAGCCGAGCATATAAACTTTTACTCTGTAAATGAATGAGATCGTTCTATAGTTTTAGCTTGTCGTATTACTGAAAATTCCCCATTAAGCAATAATATCAAGCATTGAAATGATTACAAACACAGAACCTTTCATTTATGATTCAACTCAGTAGTTAGTGAATTTTCGGTGTCTAAATCTTTGTACCACTCAATCTAAAAGAGATACATGGAGGGTGGTGTTTTACATTAACTGTGTACCATAATGTTTACGAATACCCGGTCATTGAGCCATCACTGCCTCATGATTTACATGTCTTTGATCGTAATTCACTTGATATTTCTGTTAGATAATAATAACTTTTCACTGAGACTTTTCACCAGATATATTGTAGTCTTCCAAGTATCTCTATGTTAAACGACCATGGCCTAAACTCTCATAAGATAAGATTTAAATTATTTTTCCTTTATATTATGTTTAAAGTTTCGAAAATTCTGAATTTTTTTGTTAAGAAAGTTTGTGTTCTATATATGTATGAAATTCATCAAGCTAAATAATAAGATTCAATTTAAAGAATAATTTATTGAAATAATGAATAATGTTTGTAGCTCAAGACATGGATGTTTAAGGTAATTTGGTCTTTGACATAGATGGTTCCATTATGAAGAAATTCTAGTGGCTTACTTCTTCTTGAATTATACAGTGATAATGTTGTTCACAAAGGACAATGAAAACTTCATAACCAAACCATCCAGTTTGCAGACCAAAATACTTCCAATGAATTTTCTTATTCGACATTTTAAAAACTTGTCTGAGTTTACAACTGAAACGAAAACTTTTTCCAAAGCCCATGTATGTATATTTATAACTTAAAAAAGAGTACCTTTTTAGTGATAGAAATAATAATTATGATCATTATTGAGTGTGATTCTATGGCTTAATCAATATTTCTTTAGAGCAGTAAAAAGGTCATGTACTTTCTATTAATTTCCATCATTAGACTTGAATGAAAAAAGACACTTAGTTACTCTTCTTTCTTTTACTTTTATTTCTCATCCACTTTTAAGTTTTTTGTTTAGTGATAGGTTATAGTTAAAACTGTTGTCAATATCGACATTTTGTTTAAATAGATAGATAGATATATCTTTTCATAAACTGTGTATGGCAATCAACATGAGATCTTGTCTATCTGTAATGACCAGATTCTATTAATGGAAAAATATCGATGTGATTGGTGTTGATTTTTAACAATAGTTTGTAAACGGTTTTTATTACAATATTTTGGTATGATTTAGCAAGCTGTTCAAATTGCTGAACAGGAAGCTGTGGACCTAGATTTCATGTTATTTGGGACTCGTGAGCAAGGTATATCTGTGAATTTTCTGGGAACTAGTGTCCTGCACGTTGTTCAAACCTTCTTAACAATCATACATGCTACCACTAAACCTTTTATCCATGAATGATCCCTGATTTTACTTGATTATGAGTAGTTCTCCAGTTAGTACTAAATAACTACTAAAACTTTTGAAGTTTGGTCGTCGGGTATACTCAACAAAATGCACATCAATCTTGAAGTAACTCATGATTAATAAGAGACTTAAACCTGTATCGCGCAATCTAAAAGTAAGAAAATTTCCCATCTAACTGTTCAGACCTTGACTAAATTTGTCTATGCCTCAGATATTTATAATTGGTTGACCACTGAGAAGTGACCAATATTATTTTTCTTTAGTTCTTGGTGCTAATCGAACTCTATCAATAAAGTTGCGATATATTTTGGAATAAAATGTTTTTCATGGTTTAACCCACAAGCTGATATCAGTTAAAGCACAATTGAAAGCCTAGAAGCATCGTACACCTGTTTTATCCTAGTATGGGGACTCCTAGACAATGCTAATTCTGTTGCGAAGCTGTAACCAGTGGAACTCTACCATGTCAGATGTGAGACAGTTATCCATTGCACACAATATCTTGGATCTGTTGAAGTTAAGCATTAACACTGTTGGGCTTCAGATCGGTGGTCTAGACGTTAGCGTTCGTGCGCAATACTGAAAATCCTGAGTTCGATTCCTCAATGCGGGGTCTTGGACGAGTACTGCCGGGAAGTCCCGTACTAGGAAGAAACCGCTGTCTTATGCCTCCTGGTTTTAAACGGTAGTAGTGGAGCCATGATTGACCTCCCGTTGGTCTAAGGTGTTTACATTAGTTGATCGCTGAGTAATAAGTAATCAGTATCATGTTTGTCAAGTTCTTAGTACTGATCATTTGCAGTATGTGGCCATCGCTCATGGTTAGTAAATATCTCATAAAGTATATACGATTGGACGTCCCTATTTTGAATCCAACAAAAAGCACCAGTTCCCTGACGATGTCAGGTACCTATCGTTGACTAGTGATAACCAGCACAAAAACTAGATCTAGGGCTTTCTGTCAAGTACCTCCGATATTTGTAGTGTTTCCATGCTTACATTATACGATGTTTACCTAATCAGAATTAATGAACGGATAATGGAACTGGTGTATAATTTTGCCTGTTGATTGGTCTACTTTTTTTCCTGTTTTTACATTGTTTTCGTCTTCCTTTTTCTTTTTTCACTTTTAGAAAGCTCCTGAAGATGTTATCACAGCTACTGTCTACCTGGAACAATTTATCATTCATACTGTAGGCTCTTCATTACTTCCCATACTATTGCGATTTCTATTAATGAAAATACCTTCAACCATTATATTTGGTACCAATTCACAAATGAATCAAATGACTACAAGTACGTCAACAACACCCGAAGGAATTAATCCCATTGGTTCTTGTCAGTCGTCCTCTGTCGAGGCTACGCTTAAAGATGATGATAATAATTCGCCTGTATTTTCACCTGAATCTTGTGATGATCCATCATTATTCGGTGAGAATCAATTTATCACTTCTAATAGTATAACTTATATGGATTTGATAATTGCTCGTATACATCAGTGTAATAGTTTAGTAAGTTATTTATCTATTTCTTTATTATTTTTCTGTCACAATATGTAGTGATATATTTGTATGTATAAACTTATGCAGTCGCTCTATATTCTCTCTGACCTATCGAGTCTTAAAATTACCTCACGCTTTTTATTCATCGAATTTATTATTTGTTGTTTTTGGGGAATCTCAAAATATCCATCCTCAAAGTCTATAGTGGTCCAAAAAATGCCAGAAAACGTATTATCCAACAACCGTTGATTAAACGCTTTTCAGAAAAACCTAGAAAATGAAAAGTCATGTATCACGTCTTTGATTGGATATTTACCTATAGCTCTACCAGTCCAAGTTCACATATAATTCTATAAATACACTCGGTCCTCATTATCTAAACTAACACTGGAGTAAAGCTCTTACTCACATTTCCCACCTTTTCTTTATTGTTCCAGTTGACTTGTAAGGGATGTTCAGCATTATGGGACTGTGGCTAAGAAATTAGTAACAAGCGTTTCACTACCAGATATCAGTTTGCCATTCATATTATCTATGCCTAATCTTTTCGACTGCTACTACTGATACTTTTACTGCTGGTACTACTTAGGGATTTATTTTGATAACTTCATCTTCCACTATTAATGTGATGTGCCGACTTGAACCAATGCATATATATGCTGGGTTTTATGTTGCTTATGAATAACTGACTGATTGCACATATGTTCGGTATACTTCAAAAATTTAAAGCAATTAGTCCCTTTTATAAATTTCGATAGAGCAATTAGAAGACGAAGTTGATTTGAAAAATGTGATGTATTTGCGCTATGCATTTTGAACAATCTGGTCACACATTTTAGTCAGAGCATTTTTGTATGAAAATTAAATGAAAGTCCAAGTAAAAAAAGTAATAAAAGGGAGAGAAACACTTAACATCGTATAGAAAGAATAGGAAACTGTCGCATTATCCTAGGTCATAAAATGACTTAAAGATTACTCCATCTTCTAATTGCTTTATCGAAATACTTCAAATAGTCTTTACTTTGCTCTTTTTTATAAAGAGTTAGTTCTGACTTAACTAAAAATTCATAACTTCCTCACTCAACTGTTCTGCGGTTGGTCACTTTTTAATTCTACATTTCTTCATGTTTCCCTAATGTCATAGATATACTATTTAAAACAGACCAGTTATTGTGCATTATTTGGGTTTCGCGTTGAGAGTGGAAGCTGTTTTTCCTTTCCTTTCACTCTGGTTACTTCGCGAGTCATAGAGCCGGATTCCACATCTTTTAACACGTCTCCGTTCAATAAACGGTGATCTTAAGAACTTACACCATGCCTTGGTTTTATCTCCTTTAGTTTTTATACAACCGATGTTGTGTATACATGTTTCCTATTTCAATAAGGCATTACATTGACGTCCATTCGATTGTTCTTAAAATTTTGACGTTACGCTGCATCACTTATCGATGGAAGTCAGAACTGTGACCCATTTGATACTGAATCTATACATTACATGATTTCTGAAAGCTCCTGGATTTCATTGCTGGTGAGGACTATTAAGGACTTCAAGACTAAAGTAGATATAATTTGCAATTTACCTTACTTCCAAATAGTTGTTCAGTTCATCTCACTTCGTCACAACATAAGCTATTTTCAGAGTAAACTGACTTTACACATAAACTACTCCCTGAAGCTTTAGTGATGAGTGATAACTAGTTGGGTTTAAAGTTTTCAGAAGTGAAACACTGGTCGCTAGTGATTTTCCGACGAAGTTTAGAATGTGTACAATTGAACCTTAACCCAATAGTAGTTCTAAAGGTTTAGCGCTTGTTACAAGATCTGTAGATCAGGTCATGAGATCAATCCCTGACTGGATTATACGTGTCATCTGTTAAGAAGTTACATAGCTGTTCAATGCTTCCTGTTTTTTAATGATACTTCATCTGAGATCAATACATGAAAAATATAACCTACAAATCGTATTTTGCGATTGCGTCTTTCTATCAATAGGTAGGAAGTGATTTATTAATTGTAAACATAGGGTTGTGGAGATTGATGAGTTTCATTGAATTCACGCTGTCTAACCAGTTTTTCCAGGTTTTAAATTGTGGTCTAATATTGGTCGGTTCATTATTTTAATGGAATTCAAAAGTCTTCACAACCCTATACTTACAAGTATCATGTGCACACTAGTGACTAGCTGTAGTTGTAATGAGAAGCCGTGACCATTGGAGTCCAACCGTGTTAAGTGTGAGGCAACTACTGTATGAAGGTAATGGAAGATGTTCACGTCAAACCAGCGGTCTAGCGGTTAAGCGTTTACGCGCATGACCGAAAATCCTAAGTTCGATTCATGTATACGGAATCGTGGGTACGCACTACTGAAGAATCGCATACTGTGAAGAAACGGCTGTCCAGTGCTTACAGGTTTTAAATGGTGGTCTAACATTGATCAGTTCATGATTCCAAAGATTCATTAATGTTAATATTATTGCCATCACTAATGCTATTTTTGCATTTACTCTCTTAATGATTTGAGTTTTGGGTGTGACCAGATCATTGTATGATTGCATTGATTTATTTTCTTCGTGGACAGGAGTATAATTGTTATAAGAATGTGTTTCTATTTTTCTGTATGTGCGTTTATATGTTTAATTTTCTTTCATTGTTCATTATAATGATCGTTACTTTTTAAGTGGGGTAATATAATTTTTAATCACAACATTTATACGTTAGCTTGATTCTTATGGAATTATATACACAGAAAGAGAAAGAGGGAGTGAGAGTTATGTGCGTTATTCTGTAGTTAATTGTCAAGCCACTTTTGATCTATATATTTTTTCGTACATATTGATAATACATTAATAAATAGACTTTTTATTTATTTGCATAAATACTGTATACACTACTTATATAGTATTGACAGTTCGAACAGTTCAATTTGTACTATTATACAACTGTGATCAATGTTCAATTAAAATAGAAGATATAGTTTTCTACCATTTGACTACGATTAGTTTTAGAACTTTATTGAGTTTTAATGGAAAAACTGAACATATAGGCAAACTAAATTCAGTTATTCAGTCAGTCATTATTAACACAAAGCTTGATATAAATATACCTGCGTTGACTAAAGTTGCCATACAACGAAATCACTATCCATCTTTGCTTATAGTGCTTGTGAATTAAGGTAATATCGAGACGATATGCACAGTATGTACATATGCTAATAAGAGACTGATCACTTGCAGTGCTAAACACCAATAGGAAGATTCAAGTAAACAATACCAAGTGAATTTAATAATTGTATCGTTTCTTATCTAAATGGTTTAGAATATTTGTAGCTCAGATAAATGTTTTTCTGACGATGATATTACATTTTTTTTAGTGAGTTATCTAATTTTACTTTGATGAATCTTTCATTGTCGTACACAAGAATGACAATATCAATAAAGTGATTGTTCATTTTTTTCAGTTTTATATCATAAATCAACTTTAGGCAAAGAAAAACGTAGACAACAAGTCAGCACTGAGTAACATTATTTGAAATTTTATCAGTAACATGTATTTATTCATACTCATTAATACACTCTAATGATGAGGTGAATAGTTTTGAAACCACAGTTCGAAACTTTACTTCTATGGAAAGATATGGGTAATAGAATTCTCGTAAAATAACAATTATAAATTAAAAATCGATTTTTCATGTGTTTATTCTTCTTCTTATTATTGATATGTATTTGAAATAGCTCGGTATCACAACCATGTCGTTGATGAACACCATTATCGATCTACATTGTGAAGATATCATGTTCGTCCTTGTATTAAAGTTAGTTTTGAACTTTATTTATTAAATTGTTTTAATGTTCGCAAGTTTTTTTTGTGGCAGAAAATTAGTATAGGGACAAGTCTTTAAATCAACCACGATGAATTCCCAGTTACTTTCTAGTCAGTGTGAAAATAGCTGTTGTAAATGGTTAGTTTGTGTAGAAGAAAAAAATATTATCACAGATTGTAAATAAATTTTACATAATCAATTAAATCTATCAATTTATTCTACTTGTAAGTCGAAAAAATAACTGCATATATACTTGTACTTTTAGATCAACACTATTTATCTTGTCAAACTGTTAAAATGATCTTAACAAATTTTTAACAGTCCCCATATTGTGCCTAATTAGGTTTAAATATTGATAATCAGGATTCAGGGTTGAGGTTTAAGGTTTTTACCACGAACTGACGTCTAGATGTAATGTAAGAATTCTTTGTAGCCATAAATAGCAGTGAATTTCCAACAAAAATGTCAGAGGATCTATCTGATTAGTTCATCCATATAATGTTGTTCCACCAGTTTTAGATTTGTTTCAGAATTAAGGGTTAGAACTTAGTAATAACGTTAATCTAATGACAATAAAACAATCTGTAAAGACGGAATTAGGCATTTTTACTTCTTTGGATACCAAAAATAATTTTTCATCGTCATTCTAAGCATGTTGCTCTTCATATACGATATTCGAATTTCGCACAAAAACTTAAAAGTTTTGTTTTCGATTCTAACTAACTCGTTCCTATACTTTGCTTTTGCCTCTTTTTTTTCTTCCTCTCATTTCAAACACAATAACGGTTGTTTATTCTAATCAATTGAAATTATACATAGGCGTGGCGTAATTCTATGCATTTTAAACATGCTTCAAATTTGATTTTTACTATATTGTTAAACGAGGAATATATTGATTCCCTTTAAAAGTGGAATATTCAAAAATTCAAGGTTAAACAACAAACAACATTAAAGCATTTACTTGTCTATGATGATATGAATTAGCTTGATTAAAACGCGCACTCAGAATGTCCTTGAAATTAACCAATACCATCCGAGTGTTTTTTTTAATGGAAAAAATCTTCTATATACATGATCATTATAACTATCTGCTAGCATTATATTAGTGCACTCAGTGTTATATTTAAACATGAAGTTGTTTTTCATATGAATTAAATTTTAAAATTATTATTTCGAGTTTGCCAGCAACGAGTACTACTGACATAAATATCAGTAGTTGTTAAACTAATCATGTCAATAGATAACGCTTGTTTAAAACATGGTAATAATCTGTACACTTAATAAGATAGTTCCAATTGTTTTCACGATTATTTCGTCAACAATTTATTTATCCGGCTCAGTATAGCTTAGATGATATTGTTAAATTAGTCATAGAGAATGTGCGGGATCTGGTACAATTGTGTTGTCACAACAAGAAAAACAACTATGTATGGAGTATAGACGTTGAAATAAGGATATTTCCGATAAAAAAATGTATTCAAAGAAACATACTATTATTATTGAGGATTTAAATTGTCCCGTTGTTAACATTCAAGACTGCAACTCGGTTAGTATTTGTTGTTCTATATAAATCGTGTTTATTAATTTATTTAAGCACATAAACATCGGCACAAGAGCTACCAAAATATATATGCGCCACACCGCGTCATTCGATTTGTGTAAAGGATGGAATACCGCCCTGGCGCCTAAACCGAAAAAGGTGGTTTTCTTAGGAAGCCACTCTTCGACTCTTTGACCTAGAGGTCTAATCCGCAAGACAATGGAGTAACGTTAGGAGATCCAGTCCCATGGTAGCCGATGATCAACAATAAGTTCATACACCATTTATGTTTCCTCAGGATCCTAAACCTATGTGCACTATTGGTTTCGAATCAGGATTTTTCAAATTCTTTAGGTGGATCTTCCACATCCACCAACTCGGTTAAAGCGCTGGATATTCACTTTCCGTCCTCTCATTTCTGTAAACAACACCCCCTCTGCGAGAACGAAGTGAGTAATACTCCCCTGGTAGTTGTTGTATACACGAGGTCATGGGGGGACATTCAGAGAGAGAGAGAGCCGAATCTCCCCACCCTCGGCCGCAGGAGGACATTTGGAGGCATACACATTATGTGCGGATTGACATCTTGTCACGTGTTTAATAGAATGAATGGACTGTGATTAGCAGTGGAATCGAAGACACGCGTGTCGTTATATTTGCAACTCGTTAACTAGTTGTGTATGCTTTCTGGTGTTGGTTTTCACATTGTGACCTGAACCTAGCATATTTCCTCCATCCCAAATCCTAGTGCTATCGAGCCCAGATAATTAATAGTAAGATTTTTTTATTTGATCCTCTGAACTGGCCGTAATACCATAATTCGAACTTTTGTTAGACACAGGAATTTGGAGGCTGGTGGTGTGGTATTTGATTAGTATCCATTTTATGTTGTCATAAAATAATTATTTTTCTTTCACTAGTATTTATTTACTTTTAAGGCATTTAATTTCAGTTAGAGATCATTTATTCAATATTGGATGGACATGGCCAGATCCTAGTAGTGTAACTGATGCATCAACAAAACTACTTAATTTATCCTCCTCATCATCGTCTTTGAGATTTAATCTAGATTCAGCCAGATTTAATGCAACAACAGATGAAAGCATAATTCATCATTCAAATAGTTATCATTATCATCAGCATGAACAAAATCGACAACGCCAACCAAGTCATCGCAATAATACAGTAGCTCAATTAGATATTGATAATGTGGAGGAGTTTAACTACTCTTCAGATCAATCATTGTCTAAAGAGTTACACAATAAGGATGAAGGACTTGAAGTTTTAGGTAAGATGTTTACGTATATATTCTTGTTGTTCTGTTGTTTGAATTTATTGTTCGATGAAATTACACCATGGATTCAAAAAAAGTAAAGTTGGTGTCTTTTGTGAAGTAAATAATCTGTCCGTCTATCAGCTAAAAAACTAGTATACTGTAACACGTTTCACCTTCTCTTTCTTTTAATATAAACATGGTATTTTAAAATAGAGGATATTCGTAGACTACTAGAATTTCATCATAGGTGCCTTCAAAACATTACTCGTGTATTGTAGAACGACTGAGTGATCAGTGACAAAGTTAAACGCAGTGTACTTCATAGAAATAATGAATCGGTTGATGGGGTTGTGAATCCCTATTGACTGAAGTAGTTGAGATATGCAATACGTATGCTTCACAGTCACCTACCTCGATTTTCAATGTTGGCTGCAGTAGATCTAAGTTAGGAGAAATCTTGAGGAGGTCGAACTAAGATATGGTGATCAGTACTTAAAGGCACTAAGTGGCATAACTCAAAGTTGGTCTCAGTAGTCCAGAAGCACTTACTCTTAATATTTACCTAAATATTGAGTCCCACTATTCCTGCACAAATACTTTTTCAAATCTTTCTCCATACCATTACTACTACTACGGTCATTATAATTCCTTGATTATTTATTTTGCTCCATCTTGTCGTACTTATATGAAAATGGAAATGTAGGCTAACACACATTTGAACCATACTGTAAGTTGGTTCTTATTAACTGACTTCAAAATAACACGATATATATATGGAAGTCGAGTAAAATGTTTTTATGAATGAGCCACACGATTGTAGATATTGAGTAAGACCTAATCAAAGGTATAAAGAAGGCGAAAATGGTTTTCATTGAAATACATAATATATGATTGGGATTAACACTTGCTTTCATAATAATCAGCAATAAAAACACCACTATATCACTTAAATGTTTGCAACTGTAATCCATTTGCTTCACTAAGATATTTTAATTAAAACTCGCTTTTCGTTGTTAGATGTAATACTGACCCAAAATTTCCATTCATAAGTTAATATCTAAATTTTAGACTTACTGACTCTACAAAATATGGACATTGTAAGTGCGGATCTCTTCAGATTGTAAAATTTACTATATGCTAGTGGTGAGTAGATTTCAATTGTGATCTAAATGATCATTCAGGCTTATATTTTTCAGCTTACCAATCTGTTAGTTTCAAATGACTGTAGTAATTAGCTACTTTAATGTCGAAACAAATGAAACAATTAACTTTTTAAACTTCGATCTAGATGCTTCAAAAAGTTACGTTAAGTCATTTTTAAGGGCTAAAATCTGGTGAGTATATTCATAAGTAGATTCCATTAACATGTTTAAAGGAAAAGTCCTACATGTCACTTCAAGAAAACACATCTTACAGAGACTTGGATCCATACATTAATAAACATATTACCGCTGAACTATTCTCTTCACGACTAAACCCACTCAGAACTAAAATAATCACTGTGATCGTTCACTTAAAATAAAGCAAGATGATTCTATCTAAATTTGAATGTTAATTCAAATCCGAATCTTTTAAAAAGCCTAAGCTTTCTCAATATGTTTTGTCTTTTTAATATCGATACATCATATTGATGACTACTAGTAAGTAGGAAATCGTATGTAAAATATAGATATATGGCCATTTTTCTTAATCATTCACTCATACCAAACTTTAATTGTATACTTAATTGCAGTAATAAAATTAATTAATCATAAAGCGTAAAATGTTTGAAAAACTTATCAATTAAAAATAATATAAATGGGGCGTAACTGTTTTACTGACAGTTGAAATGACAAAAAAGGCATTCACTAATGCAAACTTTTACTGTTGTTTTAACTAATAGGAATACTAATAATATTAATATTAATGATATATGACTTTAAATAATAATACCGTTTAAATTATATCGGGTGTGAAACAAATATCATTAGTGACAATGAGTTACAGCCGTACAATTTCGCAAATTGACTGAGATTAGAAACGTAAAATATTAGATTCCAGGTCAGTGATTTGAAGGTTAAGTTTTCGTCTCTAAACTCGAAAGTCCTTAGTTCGATGACTAATGGAGTGTTGGATGCGCACTGCTGAGGAGTCTTATATTAGGACAAAACAACTGTTCAATACTTCCTAGTTTTCAATGGTTAACAAATCGTGTTTAGTCCGTGATGTAAAACCACAAATTACAATAATTGTTGTGCCATTTAACTATATAGAAGAGTGTAAGCAAAACAAGAAATTTAATGCATTAGATTTTTTAAGTGTTATAAGTACAGTTGCACAAAAAGACACTACTATATTAAATTTTGACTGAAAACTACCGATTCTTTCTTTTAGATGCGTATACATGAATAGATTTTAGATTATAACAAAGCTTAACGAATCAACATACCTTTTACTCTCATTCCATACATTCAGTTATTTCTAGCTACTGTTTCATTATTCTTTGAAATTTTGAATCAAATTCTAAATCCTTTTATTCTAAGCATATAATTCGTACAAACTGAAACCTGACAGATTATATTCCAAAAACTACGTTTAAAGGTATTTTTCGATGATAATATCTGAATTGCGATTAAAAACTAGAGAATAATGGTTTGAGATTTATCAGCTATCTACACTTACAAGCAAACACTTCTGAATCAAACTGAGAACTTTCAGCTTTCAAAGTATTATGTTGAGCTGTTTAATTCAGTCATACACACTTCTTACGATTAACCAATCCACGATGAGAAGATAGAAGTAGAAAGGCTTACTTGCCAGGTTGAATTATAATTTATATAAATATCATGGTTATTACACATTTATCCTCTCTTAACTAAGTAGGGACACATAGGATGAGACCTTTACTAGGATATGACCGACTTCGTTCAGTCGCATGCATCCTACGTACTCTCTCACTTATCATTTGGGATTAAGAATACACATGATATGTCTGAATATTCTCAACCCCTTATACAATGAGCTCATTACTTTTAAGCTACTAAGTTAAGATTCAATGGTTCATTTCATCAATTTTAATTAATTCACGGCATAATTTAACCATCACTCAATCTCTGTAGTGTTATATGTCTTTTTTTAAACATTTCTGATTTACCACATAATCCAAACTCCTCACTAGAACTTCACAAGTCCCTCCAGATGTGAACCACTAGTGAGAATACGATTACATTAATTTGGTTGATTTGATTGAGAGTTGCTTTTGTCAGGGGTTAAAAGAACACAATTTTCTACTACTCTGTTTTTTAATAATAGCACTCCAATCGATCTCAATGTTTGATAAAAAAATAATTTCCACAAATTTCTCAAACAATGCACAAATTAGAGTAACAACAGTAGTCAATAGTTTTTTTTATAAGAATCCAGATTTGTTACAGTATTCTTAAATTCTTTTTACACTTAGAAAAGACGATTTCTTTTGATTATCAATTTTAATAAGATGTGTCCACCAAGTGGATCAGTAGCACCTTTTGCTTGTCATTAAAGTCTTTCGAATGAAATTCGACGTATTATTGAATGTAAGAACTCAATGTTAACAGTGTTCAACTTTTAGTATGTATTGGCATCTAGTTTGTAGTAGGAATGCAAGACATTTATATCGTCCGATTTTGAACTCATCGCCTGGATTCGCATTCATCCCAGTGTTGACGTGCACACTGTAACTTGAACACACTGTTTTCTTCTTCAAGCCCCAACTCATTACCCATCAAGCAACTGAGTATCCCAGCCGTTGCTGCTACCTTGACATGGAGGTAGGGCTTGTTCATTGGGATGAACCGATCGGAATATACTGACTGGAACATTCGTTCTTCAAGGTCCTACCATGCCAGGCAGATCGGTTGAAGAACGGTAAACTAAAAGCAGCAAACCTAAGGTCCGAGGGCGAAGTCGTACTACCAACTGTGCAGGGGCGTGGTGACAGCAAGGAGTTCCTTCCAGACAACCAGCATAAAATCGATGATGCCCACAAAGGAAGGGTGGGGTTGGAAAAGATCGACCCTAAAAATGCACACCTCGCCTTATCTCACGGATATCCGTCTCCGGTGGTAAGGTCTCAATAAGTACGGAGGTAACACGAAAATTACTCATAAAAAGGTCATGTGTGACTGGCCTCAAACAGTCATCCCTTGGGCACTGCAGTCAGACTTTCAGATCACTAAGACCACTTCTAACCTAATCCCATTTTCCAGGTACCTCTAGAAGAACCTTTCCACGATGTGGACAACTGGGAAGTGATAACCACCCTCATACCCCTAACAGCACTCAAGACCACTGTATTCATAATTAATAACTGAGGGTAATTAACCTATAATTTATTCAACCACTTACTCAATAACCGCTTCTCCTACTTTCCTCTTATTCTTTTGGTTCGAGACTGTGGGTTCTACGCGTTCGATCGCCGATAGCTGAATACTATATTAGCCGCAATCGATTCGAGGACGTACCAGAAAGCAAATATTTTTAAGATAATTGTGAGCTGCGATCGAAATCGACAAAATGTTACAATATTGAACTGTTGATTGTTTTACATTCGCCTTTCCAAAGCCATGAAGGAAAATGCCTGAGAGATACATTTAAAAAGCACTAGCTTTGTGTGGTTACTGCAACCTGCTTCACAAGTGCATGCAACCGATGGTGTCATTGACGAAGAGTTAAATAGAACTCAGTGTAGAATATTTCCTCTCTAGCAATATCCATTAATAAAGCTTTACAATTGTATTGGTATTAGTTTAACACATTTACCAGTGTCTTGAGAGACGAACGGTATCGCATTACGAAGACTGAAGTTATTTAGCCTTTATTTTTTTAACAGACCCTACACGTTTTGTTCATTTTGTGGATAATTGAAGTAAATTAGGCTTCGGTTTGATGTCATTAAAACGTTATAACTGTTCTTTCTAATAAGCGTTTTTTTAACCAAGGTGCTTTTTCATAGCAAGGTGTTGCTAACTTCACGCCCGACCCTCTTCCATTATCCAAATATGGGACCGGCACTAATCCTAGATGAAGGTACAGAATCAAAGCTTGATAATCTGTGCCGTCAAAAATTGTTTAGAAACATTAAATATAGCAAGGAGATTATGCAATGATCTAACAGCCAATGAAAAAGATGTTTATAGATGAAAAGTAATGGCTCACTAAATCAATACGAATAAATGAATAATTAAATCTTGTAATAACAACTAATTAGTAATTCTTAAAAAAAATATTTAGAAAAGAATTCAAACAATAAAATATTAAGTATGAAAGATAGAAAAATGGGTTAATACCATGGTAAGATGAGAGATTAAATAGGATAATTTTGTACATGCAGATTAAACTTGAATTGATGAACTCCTAGAAAGTTGTTTTTTAGTATCACATAGATTTCCAATTTGTATTCCTTTTGAATTAATTCATTTGGTGGTTGTATGATGAAATGAGTTTTGAAAGAGGAAAGATTCTGATGAAAGGAATTTTTGAAATTAAATATTATGCTATTTTCTTAGTTCATTTCATTGAATTTCTATTTTAATAGCCTCTAAAAATGAACCATTTGTTATGCAAATAAATAATCTTCCAGTTGGTAGTCAATTCTTAGCAAGTCATTTATTAATTCCTCATGCAGAATTAACAGCGAATTCATCATTAATTTTTAATAATTATTATCAAAATGATTTTCAATTGACTAATAAACAAGATTGTAACAAACATACTTCACTTCATATTAATAATAATAATAATAATAACACTACTGCTAATATCAATAATCAACTTACACAACAAACATCTCTTACAGAATTATCTTCTAATCATTCTTCTCCTACACCACCATCTTCAATTTCTTCTATGTATAATAATGATACAACAATGAATTCATCAAATTCCATGCTTGATTGGTTATCTTACACATCATGGGCTCATCAAACTATTAAAATACGTAAACATGCTTGTAAAACATGGCAGTTAACATTTGATGCAAATCAACCGACTAATGAACAAATTAATTTATTAAATGAAAATTTAAAGAATTTACAAATGACTGAGAAAGAGAGTACAACACATTATGAAAAAACACGTAAATTCTCTGAATATGATTGTCGTATCGGTTTAGATCCGTATAAAATTTACACAGATTATAAATGTTTTATTAATAGAAATTGTTATACAAATCGTGATCTGGAAATAAATGCTAATGAATTACATGCGAAAGCATTGTGTAACGCAGCGACAAAATTGAATATTGACACAGATCTAGATTTAGATGGATCAGAAAATTTAGATGATTGTCCTCCGGTTGCTGAAAGTGATCAATATACAGATCAATCAAAACAGAAACAACAAACGTATCATGAGAAATTATTTTCTAATCAACAAATTCATAAAAGTGTGTCTGTAAGAAATCCTATATGTATGTCCCATTCCATTGATCATAATCTCTGTACATGTTTTAAGAAACCTAAAGAATCCTTTGAAAATTCAACTGAGACATCCATTCATACGAAATTATATGACAAATCTCTAATTAAATCATGGTATTATCTTAATTTCCTGGATTCATTCGATATTAACGAACAGGTGAATGTACATAACCCTTTTAACAATGTTATCGATACTACTAATATTGAAGAGAATAGTAAAATTAAACAAGAGGAAACGCATCCGCAATCATTAGTAGGTGGTCCATCAGAGTGCCCGGAACAAACTTTACACAATGAAGGATATATAACAAGTTTTATGAATTCCAACAGTAACAATAATTGTTATTATAGTGAAGACAAATCTTGTGAATTAAATAAATTTATTGAAAAACTAGAGAATTTTTCACCTGAACATTTGATGACTAACTTTAACATACTGAATGAAAGACAAGAACAGTTAAAATTTGATAAAAAGTATTTTAGAAATACCAACAACATTAGTCGATGTAATAGTTTATCCAGTTTACATAATTTTGTAGATGAATCATGTCAGTATTTTGATAAATTATTTGGTCGATTAAAAGCACCTAGTCTACAAATATTACCCAACCAAGTAAATAATCATGAACTGGAATTGTTTGATATACCTTTAACTGAAACATATCCAATGTGTGCACCTCGGAAAAGTACATCAGCATATTCGACAAAGGGATTTTCCGATTTGCAGTTAGACAAGAGCTGTAATAAAATAACTCAAAGAGCGAAATCTTTAACTAGGGATGAACTTCACAGCAATACTAATACTACTACTACTACTACTACCAATAATAATAATCATAATCGTGATCGTCATCATCATCAACACCGTGATAATTACTGTGAAATGGGTTTTAATCATGGTTCATTAAATAACCTTATACAAACTCGTTTAATGAATGATTCAAACAGTCATGATAATTTTAATAGTCCATGTTCATTAGTTTTAATGTCATCAACGGATACCAAAGAAAAAGTTAAAGAGATGAATAAGGATTATTTAATAAATTATAATCAATGTCATTTATCTCCATCAAGAGTACAAATGAATTGTCCTTATAAAAAATCAAGTATTTCTACAATCACATCAACAACATCTGGTGTTTATTTAGAAACAATACGACCAAATTTATCACAAAATCCTTATAATAATAATAAATCATTAGGATATAATGATATTGATTTGAATGTTGATCATAATCATAATAATAATACTGATACTAATACTACTGATTTCAATACTACTCATAAAAATTCTATGGATTCTTGCACAAATTATCCAAATTTAGGTAAGTTTTTTGAAATCATCATTAAGAATTTTACAACTTTTTTTTAAAAAAAATTTATTTCTCTTTTTTTAACGGATTCAAAGAAAACATATTCTAGCTTGACATTAATTGTTATTAGTTTAAAGAGTTTGTTATTTTCACTTTTTTTTCTCAGATATAAACTATTTTACATAACTGAATATATATTTCATTTCTTTTGATGATAGATAATAAGTAGTTTGTGAAAGCGATCAAATAATGTACTATAAATCTTCATTATCACATACATTTTTGAGTAAAGAAAATTTTTCTCTATTCAATAGATTCAGAATCTCTTTTTGTGATGAATTTACCAAGTACATAGATTCTTGCCCGAAATGTAGACAATGGTGTACGATGGCGCAACTTCGTGGGTTGGTTGAAGTTGGACATTAACACCGTTGGATGCCGGCTCAGTGGTCTAGTTGGTTAAGCGCCTGGCGTAAGACTGATAGGTCCTGGGTTCGAATCTCGCGGGTTGCGGGGTCGTGGATGTGCACTTCTGAGGAGTCCCATACTAGGACGAAACGGCCGTTCAGTGCTTTCAGGTTTTCCATGGTGCTTTAGCTTCAATTGATTCATGATTTCAACTATTGAACTTTCTAAAATCTCCACAAAACTCCTGACGAAATATATTAGATGAAATGGAGTTTGAATCTGTAATTTGTCAGTTGAAAGTCGAATACCTTAACCATATTTTATCTATGAGTTCCGAATTTTGCTAAGTAATTAACCAACTGAACTCATAAACTGAATTTGCATATCTCGTTTTAACATATATTCATATCGAACTGAATATTAACATTATCTAGTACAATTTTCTTCGACTTGTGTTTTTCAAGAAAGTCACTGCTAACATGTTTGTTTAATCTCATAAACTAGTTCACGTACTCAGTCGCCATTGTAGGATGGAGATACAAAATGTAATCATAGTACTAAATGTGCACCACTAACTTGACTCTCTTTGACTTTGAATGACTATCTCTTGTTTATTCACCAATCACAATCTCACATGTTAACGCATTTTTTCTATCCTCTATTCACTGTTCACTATGTTATCTATGTCACTCTTTTTCCCTCTAATAGACTGTATTAATTTCTGTTTTTTTGTGTACAAACAGTGTTAATTTATGTTTTAGAAACGGATAATATTTATCAAGCCAAGTAGCTTACTTGACTATGATCAAGCTAAGATTTTGTGTTTGACAGTCAAAGGATTAGCTTGGAATTGCATCTGTGCGGAATTACTACCCTACAGGAGCTTTTCTTGAAAGTGTTTGTAATGTTGTACATTTATTAACTCGAAATTCTTGATACGGGTTTTTATCAGATTTGAATCCACTTCCTTTCACTGCAAATGCGGATGTATTATTCAACAAGCTACTGAGTATAGGTAGCCACTAACTTGTACAACGGGTATAGATATATTTGTATCAGTATATAATTTTCCGTTACCAATATTTAGAACCTCCACTGATCAGTTTCTGTTGCCATATGTGCATCGTGATGTAGAATATGGCTTCAAATATTCTGTAGTTTGTGTTGAAATATTGGCTCACGACCTAGCCAGGAGTAACAATCAGTTCATGAAATCACTGACTGTCCGTTTGAGGAATTTTTATAGGTTCAGAGTACCCGGCTGGGCTCCGCAATATGATCATGAACATTGGTTAGGGTCGTTGCTTCTCATTATTGAGGACCAATAACAATGGCTCAGATACATTTAATCTTTGCCTTCATTTATATCTTGAATTTTAACAGTAGTAGCTTGTCTATTCCCATCAGTTTTAATATCATAAATAAAATCACTCTTCCTTCTGATTTAATATTTATACTACTATGTATCTATATTGCGTGGCATCTTAGGCAGTTATTAGTCTCTACCATGCTCATGACTTATTGATTGATTGTACTCTAGGAAGGTAGATATTTGAATATTGACTTCAAATTTGACTTATTATCAGACTTTGTGTATAAATTCTTTCTATGTTTTTTTATTATTTTGACTAATTTATTTTTTCACAGATTGAAATCATGAGTCAGTTGAAGCTAGACCACCATTGAAAACCTGGAAGCACTGGACGGCCGTCCAGTGCTTCCAGGTTTTCAATGGTGGTCTAGCTTCAACTGACTCATGACTTCAATCTGTGAAAATTTCTAAAAATCTCCACAAACCCCTTCTGATAATTTATTTTTCCCTCGTTTTCCTTTTGTTTCAGGTCCATTTTTAACCACTTTATTCAATCGCTTAGAAAATTTCACCAATAATTGTTTTTATGCTAATCTCTATTTAACTAACCTAATATCTAGTCTTGCCTCTTATCCTATACCATTATTACGAGCTATTCTGTTCCTAACAAATACAACACAATTTGCACAATCTATGGCGGCGGCGGCGACAACAAATTCACATCATTTCAATACTCAAACCTTTAGAGCCATAAACGATAATGTTCTTTATTATTTACCATATAATATTTTATGTTTAATTAAAGAACAAATTGAATTGTTCACTGTATTGTATACTAGACAAGTTAAATATTTCGGATCTTTGGATACATTAAATGGTTATAGTTTTGACGAATTAAAACAAGAAGCACGTCGTTATTTAAACTGTGAGACAATTGATTTATCTAAATTATCAATATCAATGGATACATCAACAATACCTTTAGGAGTAGAGAAAAAAAAGAAAAAATTAAAAAGTACAAATATTTCGCATAAACAATCAAAAACTTTCACTACAGATAAACAAAATATATCACCTAGTAAGTTTTTAGTCATGATCGTATTTTTATGAGTTTTCGCTGTATTTCATCATTGTTTTTTTCTTGAAAATCTAAAATTACAATGTAGGTGATATGTCTTGTACTTAAAAGCTTGGACGCTAACTTCTTAACCGTTTCCACAGAAACCTTCTACTATTCAACCTTAAACCAAAGGCGTGAGAGTTTGGTAAAAACTTTACATCCCAAGTTATCGCATGTAGGAAAAACAAAGGTATTTTCGATTTTACATTTGATCTTAAGCTGCTAGAAGTTTGCAGATGTTAATTACGCCTGTTACCCTTCATGGAACACAGGCCTTTCACCAGGATTCTTCAACCTTCTCTGTCCTGGTCTCTGCTTTCCAGTTAATTCCAAATGCAATTCATCCTTTTGATGTCTGTCTCCGATTCCCCATATAATATGTTGCTTGCTCTTTGTCTGTTCTGTTTCCCTTCAAGATTCCATGTTAGCGCTTGCCTCGGGATGCAGTTTGGTGATTTCCCCAATATATATCCTACCCGCCTCCAGCATCTTCCTAATTTTCTCTTCAGCTGGAAGCTAGATTTTTTCTCTCACAGTAGGCTGTTGAGTATCTTGCGTAGACTACTGTTTATAAATACTTGTACATTTTTGATGATGCTTGTATTAGTGCTCCAAGTACAATAGAACGGTATCGATGTTGAATAACAGTATTTTTTGTCTCAGATGTTTATAAACTGACAAATAAATCGGGAATTTTTTAATCGAATATTGATAAAATGATCATCCTTTTCCCGAAATCCTCTTTTAAGCTTGTAAAGAATCCTGATCGGTAAAAAAAATTTCAGTAATTTTTAGGCTTCTAAAAACGATCAAGGAATTTTCGCAAACTCTTAACAGTAACCCGATTAGATTATGTGGTGACGTTTTACAACAATTTATCATAACATTTCATAGTATTATTTATGAGTGGAGCCGCTATCCACAACCATACTTTCCGCTACTAGTTAACTGAATCGCCTATCAGGACAAAACGCGCGTTCTGGATTCCACTACTAGGCACCGTCCAACTCTGCTTATAATTCCTGTGATTTGAGGCGATATCGAGGCAATGTGAACAGGATGTACATATTCTAATAACAAGTTGATCAATCGCAGCCTCAAACATCAATTGGAGATTCAAACAACCAATACAAAATAAATTCTAACTTTATAATGTTCCATTAAATGTTGTCACCATTACATACAATTTTAATTTACTTAATTGTAATATATCTGATTGAGCCAATTAGTGGTTTTTTTAAGAAACCACCACTTTTCCTAAATACATACTTTACTATAATAATTCCCATATATCGTTTCCAATTGTTTTGTTAGCAATAAATTTATTTGATAGGTTTTTATACATGATATTAATTTCGTCCTTAAAATCACACACACTGGTCAGTATATCTGAAATAATTCAGTTCTATTCGAGAAATGTTGTGAACTTTCCATTTAATATGGTCAATGTTTCGATTGTTTCATCATTATGAACTATTTCTTATTGCACACAAATTATCTACGGATGTTCAAAAAAAGTTTCAAACTAGCCCATCATTTTATGTCAACAATTTCTAACTATTGATAAATATTATCAGTAGTATGCTGTTGAAGTTGTAATTTCAAGTGCCTCACAATTCTTGTTGTATAAAGATGATTTGAATATCCGACATGCAGCTAAGTCATTGAAAATGAACCCACTACTTCTCTCTTTCGTCTAAATATATTTAATTAGCTTAGCACTATTTGTTTCAATCAAACATCAATAAATTCATATTTTCTAATCGTCCTCTGTTTGTCCTATTAATTTATTGCAGTGATGAATTCGAATAGACGGTCATATTTCCGGAAATGGTTTAGCCTTTCTTCCAAATCTAATAATAATAATAATAACAAGAACTCAGATATTATCAATACTTCTGGGAACAATCTTAAAAATACTAGGAGCACAAATAAAAATCGTCTTAAATCTTCTAACACTAATGTATTAAATCCAAAAGATTTACTTGACTTCTCACAAATTCTACAAAAACCAATGACAGAGTTTACTTTTCTAATCGACCTGGACAGCAATTATCAACAGTTAATTAATATTTTGTCTGACCAGGAGGCTACTACTATTAGTGGTAGTAGTAGTAGTAGTAATGGTAACAATGCTCAAAAACGTCGAAGAAGTTTTCGATTGTCCACAATAAAACGGCTAAAAACCAATGTAAACACTGAAGATAGAATAATGTCAATGATGATGATGAATACGGAAAATTCAATACTTGATATATCTAGAATACAAAGAATGGTATTATGTGCAGTTATATTTGAAGATTTTTGTAAAGAATTAGCTGCTATCTGTACAGAACACAGTGTTCAATGGTGATAACCACCTCTTCTTCTCTTACTATCATCATCTTGTCTTCTCTATATTTTTCTTTGTGAACATACATACATTCACTTATACCTTCATGTACCTTTTCTTTTAATGATCCAACCTTATTTTGCACTGATATTCCCACGTTATTTATGTGTGTGTGTATTTTTTGTACTTACCTTTAATATGTTTACAATTAAGAAAATCCTACCTGTTTTGTTTTTCTAAAAAGTTGTTGTTTTTGGAATTAGATCAATGTCTATTATTTTTTTTGAATCGAGGATGACAATTTTTAAAAAAATAATATGTGACTGTAGAAAACATAATTTTCTATGGAAAAGGAGATGTATGATCATAATTGTCTTTCACTGACTATATGTGATTATTACTATTATTATTGTTATTATTATTATTATTATTATTATTATTATTATTATTATTGTGTATTTGTAAAGAATGGTAAACGGGGAAACTGTAATACACATATCAAAAGAGGTAAAAAGTTTTTTTATATATTGATATATGTTTACACTTATAAATTTTGATTTTTCAAGCAATACACAGTCATAACATTATTGTGTCTTTTTACTTTTGTTTATTCATTACACCATGACGAATTTACTTTTTGTGCTGGTTTATCCGATTACGATTTTTCTGTTTATTTGGTTTGTTTCTTTTTGTTTTTGTTTTCTTTTTTTTCCTAATAAGGTTTCATAAATCAATTTGTCTTTTGTTTAACATAAATAATTTGTTACTTAACACTCTTGTGCAATCCAATTCTCTTATCTTATGTTAATAATAATCTGACAGCTGGTTTACTTTGAAATAAATATTTTGAATGAGCACCGTATTTTCGACTGGTTCTTTTTTACATTTTTATATAACTCAGGTTTGAAACAAGTAATATATTTGTTTTTGGTTGAGATCATGAATCGATTGATGTTAGACCACCGTTGAAAACCTGAAAGCACTGGACGGCCGTCTCGTTCTGTTGTGGGACTCCTCAGCGGTGCGCATTGAAGGTCCCACTCGCAGGATTCGAACCCAGGGCGAACGCTTAACCTACTGGACCACTGATCCGGCATCCAATGTTTTTAGTGTCTAACATTAATCGGTTCATGATCTCAATCAAAAACTTAATAATCTCCACAATCCCTATACTGGTAATATATTTGAATCTGTGAAGTAACCAGAAACTGTACGTGTAGATTAGATATTGGCAAAGTAGGATTATTTGAAATGATTTAACAAAAAATATAACAGTTCATGTATAAATCTTCAAGAATATTATTTAAAACTCAATCTCATGTTCTAGTGGACCAATTTAAGTACAACCAAATCATGACACTAGGTATATGAAGGGTTTCCACAGAATTCGCTCAGGAATACTGAAGTTAGATTTCAGGTGACAGAAACGAATTTTCGAGACATTTCGAAGATTTTAAAGTGATTCGGCCACGGTGTAATTTGATGTTGATGGACACTGAGGTATCCAATTATGATATTCAGATGGAATTAACAGACCTACATGTTGACAACAAGTTGAATGGACAGGCCTAAGAACAAACTATTATTTGAAATATATCTCACTTATAATGTTCGTTATTTTAGATCAAATGACATCTATTAGATAAGCTTTACATGTGGTCACTTCAGCAAGTTGAAATTCAATCTCATCGTAATCTGTATTACTACATGCAAAATGATTTCTGATTACATTAGTTCTAAGAGCATAAAGCGGAGTGATCCGAATTCGAAACCAATAGAAAACATCGATTCCCTCAAGACTAGATACGCGTTATTAGTGGATTCCAACTAGTGCAAATAATGTGGTCTTTATTCTTTCAATAGGACAGTACTTCAAAAAAAAAAATAAATAGTTTCGATATGACTATGTAATAATTTATTTGGGTTATAACACGAAATCGGATAACGCGCCTCAAATATTTCGTCTATTTGTGTTTAGTTAGTAAGGTAATATATTGCTTAATTTTAAAACTATACACACATCCGAGTGTCTTAATTTCAGGATATTGCTGTTAAAACGTAGGAATGCTAATTAACAGCGTGATTCAGGAAGCACATTTTTAAAAAATAGGATTCAACAGTAAAATGAGTAGTATATAATGTATATTTTAATTTTTTGGCAAGGAACTCGTACAGGATATGCTTGTTTGTATGCCTAAAAACTCGAGGTTTTCCTTTTCAACTTGCTCCAAAGCTTAATATCATTGCACGTTAAAGTAGCTAGGTATATGTGATACATTATTGTAACTTTTTGAGTCAATAAATCTTTACAGCATCCTCGATTGACTTACCATTGTTATCTGGTACATAACCCTCAGTCTCAGTTATACTCATCAGCGGTGTGATCATATGTAAACTATTTTTCTAAGTTACTAGATACTAAGAACTTACACATGTGCTTAATTACTGATCTGTACCATTTTGGTAGCTAGAACTATTTGATAATAACATTCAGAATGCTGCAAGTTCCAGACTTAACTGAGCAGTTCTTTTATACAGTAGTATCAGTTAGATTGCTTGTAACTTCAAATGTAGTAAAACTTGGGACAAAAACCATAATGGATTAGTTCACTCACGATCATTAAATGAAGTCACTTGACTTTTGTTTTGAGTTATTTTTCTACGTCCAAAAAGCCAAAAAGGCTCTTAAAACGTTAAGAAACATCTTATCCAATCAGCATTCAATAGAAGTTTTGCTAGAAACATCGAGAAAGTGAAAATTCTCATTTCGCGTTTGTAATTGGATGACTACCTGTACTGCTACTATGTTTAGTAACGTTCCAGAAGCAGAAAGCTATCTAAAAGACTATAAATATCCTAGGTTTTCTGTACATAAACGAACCTTTGGAGTAGAGCATTTCGCCCATACTTTGCGCCTTTTCTCTAGTGTTGAAGTCGCTGTATCGATTTAGCTTGGAGGTGACTAGAAGAGCATGAAAACCGAATCTAGCGTTCAATCTGAAGACTTATCACTTGTCTCGAAATCGATCTCAACGGCGTAGATCCATTCACTCTTTGCCTTCTCTTAATTTTCTTATACATTTTTATTCCTTGGATTCATTCTGTTTCCTTGAACCATAATATCAATGCCTAATTTTTTCTACTACTGTAGTGAACAAGAAGTCATGTGTAGACAACCAATTTAATGTTTAATACAAAATTAAAGAGTCTTCGTAAAATATGAGAACCATACATTAAATACTTTATTTGTAAATTTTCCATCAATAAACCTTTACATTACTTATGATTCTTCCAATTACTATACATTTTACCTAATTAGTATCATCTTTTTATCTATTGGTATCTTAATCTGCCTCTACGTGAAACGGTTCGAAAAATTGATTATGTTGTAGGGCCAGCGAAATGTCACTAAGCCCTAGCCAAATCATCCGTCAGTTGGGTCATTAAATATCTAGCAAATCATCGATCCTCGTCAAGGTCAGGGACAACCAACGCTCATCAGTTAATCGTATGTCATGGACTGGCCCATGCGGCTTCGGTCTTACTTCCGTTTGTATCTACTTTAACTAATATATTTCTGTAATAACATCCTCTGTGTAGTACAGTCTCCAAAGCATGTGGTATCTTGATACGTCAATGGGGTAGTCTACGTAAGGTGCTGACCACGAGGTGTGACTTCGACGTTAGCTAGTTTGTCACACGATTCACGTTTAACTCGAGTAGACCTCCAATCATTTCGACATAAATCATCTACGTTGGTGATCTACAATGTTAATATACCAATTCATTATAAATATGATTTCATTTGATTATTTAATTAAATTTATATGAGAATAGATAATGTAGTAAACAATATGGTGAAAAGTCATTCACAACATCACCATTTACAATAAAAGCAAAACCGATTTTCTTCTTTATCTATTCTCATTTTAAAATAATGCAATATATTATACACTTTTGAAAACAATAAAACAAGATATGGTTCATTTTATGTAAAACCAATCAGTTGAAACAAATTCAAATCTTCATCTATATAAAAGAGAGAAGAAGTGAACTTGAATGAATGTAAGCGTATAAGGCAAACAAACAATTACATAGTGAAATGTAACTGATCAAAAATGGAAAGAAAAACAAAAAACAATTTATATATAGAAGTAATGTTATTTTAACCGGTAAGAGAATAATTTTAAAAAAAACAATGAACACATTAATGAATAAATGTCATTAAAAGGAAAGAAATAAAAGGAAGTAAACAATTTACCAAGTGAATTCAATGAATGAGAATGATTAGATTAAAACAATTGGTATTTAACAGGGATATAATTGATAGGATGAAAAAAAAAGAAATGGATAAGTTTTAGTTTATTCATATCCTTTTGTATATTATGTTTGTTATTCTAATAGGTAGATTAAAAGATGAAGATATTTCTAGAAATAATCATAAATATAAACTACACACATGATGATTAAATTCTTTTGACACACACACACATACACACATACAACAAAGTAGTTAAGAACAATAACTCATATTACTCTTTTAGTGTTTTACATGGGGAAAAAAACAAACGTTTAACACTGAATATTATTATCACAATATAATTATTTTCACAGAGTGATAGTTTTTTGAATGTTTGAATTCTCAATTTGTTTGCTTGTTTGTATTAACGAAAAGGTTTTCTACCATTAGTTACCGTTGAATAACATGTTGATGAATTAGTACAACGACTGTAATTCGATCGAATGGAACGTCCTGTTCAAAATAAATGAAAAGTTTTAAAATACATAGGCGTGTAGCTTTATAAGTAAAACAAAAACATCAGTTGAAACTAATCAAATGATAATATAATTATGTTCAATGGTATTATGTTATCACATATTGTAGGTATGTTTAGATTCATTAGGAGTAATGAATCATTGGTCGATTAAAGGATGATAAATAGTTCTAGAATAAGTAATAATCAGTTTATGTGAAAATTCACATTCATAGTAATGAACTCAGCAATAATAGTCCTTTTTCATCTAAGACAAGTATAATAATGATCAGTTTAATATGCTCAGTCAGATAAATGAAAATCAATCTTAAAATAGATGGGTATATAGTTTTATTTTGAGATAACTAATAGTAATTCTGAATTACAAATAGTTAGACGACTCGTCAATTATGTAATAGGATCTAGGCGAACGATGAAATATCGGAAGACTGGATAAGATACTTTAAAAAGAACTCACAAATAAGACAAAGATTTAGGAACTTAAGAAGAGTTTTGTTATAACTCTCTTTTCTTACGGTTAACGACCCAGCTATTCCTATTGCTTGGTATTCTCGGACACCGATTCACTCGACAAGTCCCCAAATCAGAACACGGTTGAACAGGAAAAAGATTATATTCCAAATAGCAAGTCAGAAGCCAGTA